CCCAGCTCCGGCTCCGCCCGACTCTTCCACCCGCAGGACGGGCCCGCTCAGGGAGAGTAACGCACACAAGGCCGGTGTCAAGGTCAACTTCCACTGTTGCTTCACATTCGGGCCCAGCGCAGCCTCATCCCAGGCCGGCCCAAGGACTGACGGGCTCCGAGCCTTGGCCTGGCTCATCCAGGGCGGACCCTTTTGTTGCTGTGGAGGGAGAGGGTCCTTGGCTCTGCCTGGCAGTGCCCGGCCTCACGGCAGGGCCCCGTGCAGCCGCCCCACCTCCACGAAGGCCTCCACACAGCGGTCGATGTCTTCCTCGCTGTGCACCGCTGAGATCTGCACCCGAATCCGGGCCTTGCCCTTGGGGACCACCGGGTAGCTGAAGCCGATGACAAAGATGCCTGGGGGGCAGAGGTCAACTTGGGTCACTCGGGACACACAGACTTCGGGGACGTGACATACAGCACCTTACTTTCCCCAGCCCTCAGAGCAGAGGGGTCTCAGAACAGGAGACCCCTGTTTCAGGCTCATGCCCACAGCTGATCTAGGGTTCCCTGGGCCGCAGCCGGCCTCCTTGCCCTAGCCCCTTACCTTTCTTTAGCATGTCGTCCGCCATGCGCGAGGCCAGCCGGGCATCCCCCAGCATCACGGGGCAGATGGGGTGACTGCTCCCCGAGATAGTGAAGCCCGCAGCCTCCATTTTGCTGCGGAACCTGTGGGCACAGTCGGAGTCACGCTTGCTCCCAAGGGGCAAGTGACCCACGATCTGTGCCCGAGTCTGCAGAGAGGGAGGGCCAACAGAGACAGCGGCAGACTGCGAGCGCCAGGCGGGAGCCAGCAGAGGGGCAGGCGGACGAAAGGGCGGTGGGAGACTGGCCGCACAGGAGAGCAAGACGCTCGCAGAGGCAGAGGGCAGGTGGGCAAGCAGGCCGCTGCCCAGACCGCGGAGCCGGCCCGTGCTCTGCTGGGACCCGCAGGCCGAGGAGCGACGGGCCTCGGCCCTGTCCCCGCCCTCCCTGGCCCCTGCCTGCCGGGGACCGCACCGCTGGGTCTTGGCCGCCATAGACTGGACAATGGCATTGCTGTCCATGAGCAGGTCCAGGGCCTTGGAGGCGCAGCCGACGACAGCAGGGGGCAGGCTGTTGGAGAAGAGGTAGGGCCGGGCACGCTGCCGCAGCAGGGACACCAGGGGCCCAGGCCCCGTCGTGTAGCCCCCTAAGGGCAAGCGCAGAGGTGGGGGTGAAGATGGCCGCCAGAGGCTCGGGGACCAGCGCCTCCCCCAGCCCCTGCGGGGACAGAACCCACGCCGCCCTCTGCTCTGCAGGCCCAGCTCCCCTCTCCATCTTCCCCGAGGGCACACCAGGACCCTGGGTGTGGGTAAGGGGACCCCGCAGGTCCCCAGGAACCTGATGCTCCGCCCAGAGCCTTCCCCAGCGTGGAGTTGATGATGGTGACCTGGTCCATCACGCCCAGCAGCTCATCCGTGCCCCTGCAAGGGAAGCTGCCACTGTCCCCACAGACAGCCCGAGGGCCTGGGGGTCAGGGGTCCCACTGGGGGCGGCCTCCCTGCCCCACCCAGCCTGAGAAGCCCGACCCCGGCGCGCCCACCGTCCTGTGGCCCCCAGGAAGCCAGTGGCGTGGCATTCGTCCACAAAGACCAGGGCTCCGTATCGAGAGGCGAGGTGGCAGATCTCCCGCAGAGGCGCGATGTCGCCATCCATGGAAAAGGCCCCGTCAGTGGCCACCAGCCGCAGCCGATGCTTCTGCGGGGAGACCGCAGCCAGGCCCGAGCCTCAGCAGCGCCCTGCAGCCGGGCTCTCGCTGGAGCTCAGGCAGGTGGCGCAGCACGAGCAAGCTGCACTGCAAAGCTGGGTTGTCTCCAGCTCTCAGGCTGCTCGTCTGAGGAGAGGCCTCTCCGAGCCTCGCTTCCCCCGATGGGGGCAGGCTGGCGGTGTGCCCAGTCCTTGTCCCCGACCCCCGGCCCCCGGCCCGTCCCACCTGGGCCTCCTGCAGCTGGGCCTCCAGATGGGCCATGTCCAGGTGGCGGTAGCGGTACTTGTGCGCCTTGCACAGGCGGATGCCGTCGATAATGGAGGCGTGGTTCAGCTCATCCGACAGGACCGCGTCCTCGGGGGTCAGCAGGGCCTGGACCAAGGCCGCGGAGTAGAGCCTTTGCTCTATGTGGCCTCCCAAGTGAAAATTTCGCGGCCAGCCTGGCCGGCCGTCAGAGCCCCTGCCGGGGCTGGCCACAGGCCCTGCTCCAGTGAGGGCAGGGGAGGGCACTGCTGGCGAGGCCCTGACACCTGCCACCCGCCTGGACGGTGGCCTCCCAGACACCCGGAAGCAGACCTCCTCGCGAGACCCTCTCCTGGTACCCACCTGACTTCCGGGAGAAAGGGCACTCACCTGCACGCCCGGCACCCGCCCTGCCGACCTCTCCTGACGCCCATTCCCCAGCGCCCACCGCCTAGCGGCCTCACCAACTTCTACCCACGGCCTCCACACACCTCAAAGAGGCCGGCATTGGCATCAAAACAGCTGGGGAAGAGGATGGCATCCTCCCGCTGGTGGAAGCGGGCGATCTTTCTTTCTAGGTCCTTGTGGATGCTCTGGAGAAAGCAAAGGACATGAGTGTTAATGCCCGCGGGCACACGTGGGACGGAGGGTCACAAACAGGCCCAGCCCAAAGGGTCTGCAGCCTCAGCCTCTCCCTTTTTTTTTTTCTGAAGATTTACTTATGCATAGAGCTGGGGTACAGGCCAGAGCCTCAGGGGCGGTGAGAGGATTCACCAGAGACAGAGTGGGGAGCAGAACAGGCCGACTGACGAAGTGGCCTGCTGTGGGGAGCAGCGGGCGGATCAGGAGAGGTCTGCCGCACCCTGTGGGTCATCTCCGGGGCGGGGATCAAACTCGTGCTGAAGTGGCTTTAGCTTCTCAGTGCTGTGCCCTAACCTGCTGCCACCAGGGAGGGCCCAGCCTCTCCCTTCTTTCTGCACAAGAGTGCCCCAGAGCCAACAGGCATCTGACACTGAGAATTAGGGACCCACTAGAATCCCTTCCTGCTGGGCCTTTGTTTTAAGATTTTATTTATTTACGCATACAGAAATGGGGTACAGGCCAGAGGTACAGGGGTGGAAAGAGGATTCACTAGAAGTAGAGCGGGAAGCAGAACAGGCAGGTCCACAAAATACCCTGCTGAGGGGAGCAGCAGCGAGACAGGAGCCGTCTGCTGCACCATGTGGGTCAGCTCCGGGGCGGGGATCGAACTCACACCAATGTGGCCACAGCTTGGCTTGGCTTCGCAGTGCAGCGCTCCAACCCGCTGCGCCACCAGGGAGGGCCCAGCCTTTATTTTGTAATGGGGTCTGATGGAGGAAGTAAGGGTGCTGGTGGGAAAGGAAGATGTGGCTTCCGAACACGAACCAGAATCTTTTTGGGTCACTTCAGGGAAAAGTGGATGACATCAGTGACGCTGGTTCATCTTAGATTTGAAAGCTATTCAGTCTGAGTGGGGTTTCTGTTGAAAAGCGTCCTGGGCTGGGAGTCGGGGTTCCATCCATGACATCCATTCCGCCCCCACCCTTCAGAAGGGACAGCTAATCACAGGACGTGGGGAGCACAGATGTGGGCAGGCCGCGGGCTCAGTCCCTCTACCACAGGCTGGGGTCAGGGGCAAGTCACCCGACCTCTCAGGCCTCTGTTTCTTCACCTTTCTCACCAAGTACTGTTGTTATGAGAATAAAATATCTGTAATGTTCTTAAAACAGAACCGGCACATAGTAAGCAGGATGAGTTTCATGTTTAAGTTTATTCTATAGCGTTTACAAAACAACCAAGTTCTATGTAGCACCACTAAGTGCCGGGCTCTGTCCTAAGCATTTTCACTGTCTCTCTTCATTGACTTTTAAAGATTTCTTTAATTACGCATACAAGAACTAAGGTACAGGTCAGAGGTTGGTGGGGAGAGGATTCCCCAGACACAGAGTGGGGAGCAGAGCTGGCGGATGAACTGAAACACATTGCTGAGGGGAGCAGTGGGGGAGAGGTCTGCTGCGCCCTGTGGGTCACTCCCTGGCCGGGGATTGAACTCAGGCTCCTCTGGCAGGGGACGGCTTCACAGGGCTGCGCTTTAGCCCCTGAGCCACCAGCGGGCGCTCACGGCCCCTCTCATCCGTCATGGCGCTACGCAGTGGTGCTAGCCCCACCCTGCCAGCAACGGGAGGGAGACACAGCCGGGTCAAGACATGTGCCCAGAGTGGGCCTAGACGGAGGCACTGTGCATCAGACTCTGGTAACAGCCCCCGAATCCTCAAAGGCAGCCCCTGACCGCTTGTCTCTTTTTCTGGGATGGGCACAGAGGGGAGGAACTCAGTCCTGCGGGTGGGAAAGGGACGCATGGCGCTTAGCAGCTTTGGGGCAGAGTGGGCTGCGGGGAGCAGAGAGCTGGCGTCAGCACCCACCGCAGGGGACAATGCCCTCCCGACATTCGCTGAGTACCTGGGTCCCACAGATGAAGCGGACAGAGCTAAGGCCGGCTCCAAACTTCTCCAAGGTGTGCAAACCTGCCTGGATCACCTCGGGGTGGCTGCTCAGGCCCAGGTAGTTGTTGGCACAGAAGTTAAGGATTCCTGAGGCGGAGGACAGGGGATAGACACAGCAGCTCAGGGCAAGGAAGTCCCTGGGTCAGCACCAGGCCTTGGGGCCTCAGAGGACTTGGATCCATCCCCAGGAGGCAACAACCACTCAGTGCGATCCATTCTGGGACCAATGCCAGGATGGGGGGCTGGGGCCCCAGGAAGCACTGGACGTGACAGCTACAGGTGATGGAGCGTTAGGAAAATTCTCAGGTCGGCGCCTTGAAGGATGAGCCGCTTAAATGCTGGTCTGAGTTGCTGTCCGCCAAGGGAACGACCCAGGCTCTCAGGCCTTGGCTTTCCTCATGAGCAGGAAAGGGTTTGTTCAGTTGCCCGCAAGGCCGCGAAAGTCCAGGTCACTTTGCTGCCTGGTACAGACTCACACGCCCAGAGGAGGTGCCTCTGAGACCTGGACGCCTTGAAACACAAAGCCCCAAGGGAACGGCTGACCCGAGGAGGACACTAAGGAGTTCTGGGGAGTGAACCTGAGTCTCCCAATTCCCATCGTCTGCCCTGCTCCAAGCTTCCCTGGAGGAAGGCAGGGGTTTCCTGAGATCTCCGTTTACTAATTCCATCTCTATCTCCCGCACATAGGCACCTCTGGGGAGCGGGGTGTTTATGGCCACTGCACACCCAGGGCTGGCGGGCGGGATGCGCAGAGGCATGCCATGATTGGGGCCACGAAGTTGCCTCCGGTCCCGTTAGCTGATGTCCCAACTCCAAATGCCAGAGGACCTCAAGTCCAGCTCTGCTAGCTGCTCTGCGGGCTTCGGAGCAAGTTAACTTGACAAACCTGCCCTTCGGTTTCTAGGTTGTAAAGTCGGCGAGTCACTCCTACACCGTGTCTGCAGACGTGGCTGTGTGGTAATCAGGCGCTTGCACCAGCAGCGGATCCAGAAACTCGAGGTTTCTTGACCCCGCCACCCTGCCTGCTGGGGGCCAGCTGGCTGTCTCTCACTTTTTCTCACGTCCTCACAGGGCTGGGTCTCTGTTCAGCCCTGCCGTGTAGGCCAAAAAGGTGCCCAAAGGCAAGCCACCTCCCCCGCTGGAAACGGGTTTAACCAGATCAGCGCTAACACCTGGTAGCGCCTAAGGGGTCAGCGGCTCGCCCTGCAGGAGCTGCCCCGCGCCCGGCGGCACCCCCTCCAGGACCTCCACTCCCGCACAAACCTCGGAACGGCTCTAGAACACGAGGCCACGTCCGTCGAGTCCCCAGCGGGGCAGTTACCTCCGGACACGCCATCCACGTGGATGCGCGGCCCCTGTCGGGACGTGATGACCCGCTCGCTCTTCCAGGTGCCGGCCCCGCGGATCCCCTCCAGCTCCTCCTCCAGGATG